TTTTTTTTTTCTTCTTTTTTTCCCCTCCTTCTTTTTTTTTTTAACTTACCTGAATTATGAAAAAAGTCAATTTTCCCTCTTCAAACTATTTAGGTTGCCTTCAACAGTCCTTTTGTATCTACGCCCTGCATTGAGAGCTGTGGGCTGTTTGGGGTTTTGTTGGGTTTTGGGGTTTTTTGCTTTTTTTGTTTTCTTTTTTGAGTGTAGGTGTAAGGAGCTCAGAACACAACCTGGAAGAAATTGATGAAAGGGACGAGATAAGTGTGCAACAGCGAGAGAACAGTGAAAGTACCAATACCTCTCTCAGGACAGGAGAGGTTACTGTAGCCTTCAGCTCTGCTGAGGTACCACTGGAAAATGAAAAAAATGATCCTGCTCCATCAACTCCTGTTCCTGGCAGTGTTTCCGTAGACAACTCACAAAGCTTCAAGGAAGAAAAACAAGAAAATATGAGCACAGATGGCAAGTAAGTACGTTTTGTGACAAAGAAAGGAGCATTGGGGAGGCGATGGGGGAGGCAAATAAAACGCAGTGCTGTTTTATTGTGGAGCACAGAATAGAGAATTGTGAGAGGGATGAGCTTTAATATGCTTAGCTTTCATTGCAGCACTCTTCTGTGCACAGTAATTCATGAAGCTTTTCAACAAAAATGACAATGAAGTGTTCTGTAGGCTATTCCGTTTAAGCCTCCCTTTCCTTACTACTCAAACAGCTGGACCCCAGAAAAGCTGAACCCAGCTCTAAAATACTCTATTTATTACAGCAGTATGCTGCAAAAAAAAAATTGGGATTGATTAGTTAAATAAAAATACACAAATTCTTTCTTACAGATGGGGAAAAACGGGTAGATCAGCCATTTCTGGTTTTTTGGGCATGGTTATCTATTGCTTGCATCTTTTTTGGCTTTAATTTTTATTTTTTCTTTTCCTTATATGTTGTCTTGACCTGTCTCAATCCATTTGCTCTCAGGAAAACAAGTTAATTCTGCTTTTTTAAAGAATAAACACATTAGTTTCCTTAACCGCTCTTTTTCCCTTCTGTTGATGCTATACCTTTGCCCTTCAGCATGTTTGTTAAAGTACCTGACTCAGCAGGTTCCCAACATGAGTTAGTGCCCGCTTGAAATAAATGTTGATTGTCCAGAGAAGTCCCATTGTGTTAATGTAATTCACTGTTTCTCTGTTCCCTGGGGCAACTAAACTGGCTACTGTTCCCAAATTAAATTGAAAGAACTATTTCAATTATTGTACTGAAGCCAAAATGTGACTGCCCTAGTAGTGAAGAACTTTCAAGGCAGTAAGGAGAGCTTTGACTTGTATCTGTAGGGACTTTTTTGTCAGTCCAAGGCCAAATGTGACTTTGCAAAAATCTTTGATGCTCTGTCCTGACAAATATTGTCCCAGTTGCTTAGGTGTGTCTCCTCTATGGGGATCTAATAAGTTGTCTTGAACTTGTCAGACCTTTGTTATTGGGCCAGTTTGGGTAGTTGTCCAGGGGATGTTTCTTCCCCACCCCATTGATGAATTTGCAGTAGCCTTTAATGCCATATAATCCTGGTGAGTATCATTAAACCTGTACTGTGCTCTGGCTTTAGAGTTTGGCAGTTGTTTCCCGAAATATCACAGGGACTCCAAAATGAGGACTAGGGTTTCTCTGACATTATATTTCTGGAAAACTTTTGATAATTCAGATCTTTTATATAAGATCTAGTTACTTTCAGAAGTACTTTCTTTGATCAAAGCAGGGAAATATGTGTAATATTCCAGTCAAAACCACTAATTTCTGTAATGATACTCTGTGGTGCTTTGTGGCTTTTGGGTTTGGTGGTTTTTGATTATATTTTTTTCTATTAAAAGACCAATTCAGCCTGTTGTTAATAGTTGTAGCTCAGTCCCTCAGCTGTGTTAAAAGGAATGAAGATAAGCAAGAGTACAGAGTGCTGGGCCGAGCTTTAACTTTCTTCCAACAATAATTTTGAGGGCATACACTCCCGTTCAGTGGTATTGGACATTTACAGTATATTTGGTACTTTAAGCAGCATGTGCATGGATGGTTATTGAGACATTTATAATTTTAAATGATTCAAAGCAGATGTGTCAGCTCAAGGCACTGGTTTCTGACAACTAATGCATTTGATGTGGCAGATGAATTGGAATCTTCATAATGCCAGTATTTCTAACTACAGAAAGTGCAAAGATGGAAGTTGGAAGTTCTAATAACTTTTTGTAGAGAAATTTTAAGTATTTTTGCCTTTTTCATTTACCTTTTTAAGCCAAGGACTTAATATCCCCCCCACCACCACCTCTCCTTATTCAACATTTGTGCAGTACCCTTGTCCCCCATGATCTGAGGGGAACAGATACTATATGCATTTGCAAAATATTTAGTATGCAAATAATATGTTTGGTGGATGTTTCTTCGCTGTTCTCCAAGTATTTCTGGAAAGGGACTATTTTGAAAAGTCTGTACTGCACAGTTCATGTGTTCATACACAGTCAGCATCTCATGCAGCTTCCTGTGTATTGTGGTGTTGGACAAAATCAAGGGCACATTTTAGATGTGGGGGATGTCAGAGCACTTCACACTAATGTTGTTATATGAGTGAAAAACCATTGTGGCTTCACTGAAAAGGAGTTGTTACTGGAAAGGGGCTTGTTCAAACTGCACGTGTAAGCAAAAGGAGGGGGAGAAGAGAAAGGAAAACTGATCATCTGCTTACACAGAAGCAAGTGGGGCTGCTTGTCATTTTGGTAGAATATCATGGCAGCATTTCCTCTTGTTTTATAAAAAATAAAATAATCTATTCTGTCGAGTATTCCAGTGTTTGGCAGAGCAATTCTATTTTGTCCATCTGTGTTTGGAGAATATTGCCAGTTCTCTTGCATCGTTTCTCGTGTTTACTGAAATGAATGATACCAGCATATTTAATGTACTGTTGTGCTTTGCAGAGGACTACAGACTAAGATAAGCAGTCAGGATGCTGGAGTTGAAAAAGACAGGAAGCTTAAAATTTTAGATCAAAATAAAACCAATGGTGAGTAGTTCCCACTCGTTTTTAATACTTCAAAGCAAGGTTGAAGAGAACTTTTCTATTCCTTTGAAGAAATGACAATACAGTCAACTCTTGAATTGTTATCATCAGATTATTTTCTTTACACTTTCTCTAGCTTTGGTGTATTCTCTTTGAGATGAGGTGGCAAGAATTGGATGCAGGGATTTTTTTTGGGAGCAGATATTTTTGGTATATTTTTGTTATAGCAGTAGTCAAAGCTGTGTTATGCTGTTGTAGGGTGGGATGGGTGGGACAGTGCCAAGGAGAAGGAAGGCTGGACACAAAGGTTATCCTGCTATGTGGGGTGCCATGGGTACCATACCCCAGCAGAGAAGAAGAGGCCATCATTTGGTCTTTGCTTATGAAATTAGTGTGAGTTTTCTGCATGAAAATGCAAATATTTTTAAGCACAAATAGAAGAAAGTGACACGCTGATCTGAAATGAAATGACGACATCCTGTGCATCTAATGGATCATAAATTTTTCTGTGGATTTAGTGACCTGACTGATTTATTTTACCCTTTTGTGACACTGATTTTCAGATTTATATATTAGGCCTTCTATAGTCTTTTATACTCAGTACACCTCTGTTTATAAATCATAACAACGCTGCATGAGTCCTGTTTATATGTGATATAAATTTTATCCTCCATTTTATAACATACTTGAAATGAGGACTTTTTTTCCCCCCCAAAAAATAACCACTTCAAATGATTATTCCTGAAGACTTTAATTTTTCCCAATATTCTGTTTAAAACAATTTGACTCAAATATTCACATGTTTTGGAGATGATCACGTGTTTAGTTCAGGGGTAGAAAATTGAATTATCAGACCAACTAAAGAGTAGGAAAAATAGTTTTGAAAAATTGCTCTTGTCCATATGTTTTTCAGTTGTTTCCATGTACAAATACATAAGGTGAAGTTGACAAATAAGATGTGACATGAAAACTAAAGAACAGAAGCCACAAATGTGTGGAACTAAATAAAAGCTGTATCTAACTTGATATTGAATAGTCGTTGAGCTCTTGAGTCACCACTGCCTATATAATCAACTGAAATTCATTAGCACTTTTTAAATGATTCTAGAATAGTTTTTTCTATTAAGTCAATGCATTGCACCAGTAGCCTGTTTATTAAGGAAGAATACCTGAGTTAGAATACTACTATTTGGCAATATTAGTCAAATATACTTATATCTTTAAATAACTTTTAAAAGTAAGTGTTAAGGAAATTTTTAATGTGAGTGAGAAGCCAGTCATAGTTAAATACATTAGATGCAGAGCTTCTTGATGTAAGGAGGAAGATTGAATCTTTTTGGCATTTGTATTAATTTTGGAATCTTTCTTTAACTTAAAGATCACAGCGATACAAAACTCCTTCCAACAAAAGAAGAAGGGAAAGAACTTCAGACAGCTGAAATTAAACCAGTAGATTTTACAGAAAATAACAAGCTCGAAGTTGACAGACTATCAAACTTCCAGGCATGTAAAAATGACATCTCTGTAAGTCATAGGAATTATCCTCAACTGATGTCAGAAAAGCAAGATGACAAAACAAATCAAAGCAGCTTGGATACAGTAAAAACTCAGGATGTTGCAATCCAAACAGGTCCTTCGGATAGCAATTTGGGAAGGTCTACTCAGAAAGAAATTATTGTTCCTCAGGGTGTTGAATCATCCACATTCGGAGAACTGGTCTCTCAACATAACAGAGATACAAACAACCCCCTTCTTCAAGTGATGCATGGAACGCAGCAAGGGGATGAAGATACGTCAATAGAACAAAATCTTAAGACACAAGAAGTTACCCATGGAGATATAATTCCCATAAAAGACCAGAGTCACGTCTGTATAAATGGCAGTAATTTTGTTTTACCAGAAACAACTGCAAAAACTCCAGATGACTTTTCTGTAAAAGGTCACCCTTTTTATAGACAGGACACCAGACCTAAACCCAAGCCTGCTAATGAAATTACAAGGGATTACATACCAAAAATTGGCATGACTACTTATAAAATAGTGCCTCCAAAATTCTTAGAAATAATGAAGAGCTGGGAAGCAGAAGTTCCATCAGATCATAAGGATCAAGAGGTATCTACTTTGGAAGATTCTCTGAAGCATGAAGACCCCAAAGAATTCATAGTGCAAGCTGAAATTCCTCATCTGTCAAAAAGTGTGGGTCATTTACAGGTTGGTTCACAAAATGAAGCTGCAGCAGTGAATGATCTGCTGCAGAGAGTGAACAGCATTTCTGAACATACTGTGACCTCTGGAGCTGAGATTACTACTGAGAGCAACCAGATGGAAAAGGAATCTTTCAAGCAGCGTGTCCCACTGATGCTAAGCCTGGATAATACAAATGCTTCTTCTGAGACTCAGGACAAGTCAAATGCATTAAGTCCTACAACAAAGCCTAGTTCTTTTTATCTGCAGATGCAACGAAGAGCTTCAGGTCATTATGTGACATCTGCAGTTGCCAGAAGTACCATTTGTGCTCCTAATTCAATTCAAAATGAAGCTAAGAATACAGAGATGGGGAAAAAAATCTCATCACCTGATCTGACTTCTTTGGCTTTACATAAAACAAGTATTTCCTCTCCTCCAGCAGATGAAGAAAAAGTTGATGATGGAAAAAACATTGAATCCTCCACTTCTCCTGTTAAAAGCAATAAACCTTTAATTTATCCCCCCTGTCCTCCAGCACCACTGAACCTAAAAACTCTAAGAACTTTTGCAGTTCCAAAGCCATACTCCAGTTCAAGACCATCCCCTTTTGCTCTTGCTGTCTCCTCTGCAGTCAAAAGGTCGCAATCATTCAATAAGACGCGTACAATCACTAACCAGGCACCTAGAGAGGAATTTCCTGTTGAACTCTCCTCTGCCACTTTGGCAGCTGAATTCTCCTCAGCTACCTCCATGCCTCAAGTGAAAAGCCCTTCCTTACAGACCTTAACAGTGGGGCCACAAAATAGTCTAATGGACAAGGTAAACTTTATTTCTAATGCTGGTTGACTGTTGATCCACTGCCATCTAGTGCAACCACTCTAAAGGCTTGTCTGTGAACCACTTCCTGGTCAGAAAGCGCTGTATTCGTACAGTGAAAACACCCAGTGGTGTTCAGCAGTAGCACAGCATTATAGTGAAGTACATGAATACAGAGAATATTAAAAATGAGAACAATATAATTCAGATGATTTGAAATATTTATTTCTTGCCATAATCAGCATCCTCTGCTTTAAAGAACTGTAAATTAAATAGTCATTTATCCTGTGTATACCTATTATTATGCTTGGAGTGCTTATGATTTGTTCCTTATGGTTCTGTGTGTTAATTTCTTAAATTTAATTCTAAGTGGTGTGATTAGTTTGGCTTTAAGTGATCATGCCACAAACACACTTGAATGGAGGCATAAAATTTTGCTGGCATAATTATTTGAGGGAGAAACTATTCCAGTGGGAATGTGGCTGGTCTCTGAAATCTTGAATCAACCAAACACTAGAACGGCAGCAGTTTGCTATGCAACCTTGTGCCAGGTTGACTCAGTTTTCCATTTATAACTAATTCAGATTAAAATTTTTTGGTTTCTTTTTCCTCCCACTTTGTCCCTTTATAGAAAGACAGCAATGTGAATAGTGAGCAGAAGAGTCAGGCGCAGTCAGGTGCTTCCACTGACCACCCACCCCCTGTCACTAAGAGACAAACCGTGATGACGTTCCCGCGCTCTGACCCAGAACAGATCCACCAGAGCTTGCTGGCTGCAATCCGCTCTGGAGAAGCTGCTGCCAAATTGAAAAGGGTGAGTTTTCATCACTGCATCCATAACAATGAATTCATGGTACTTTCTCCAAAATTGCCATACTAATGCCTGACACTAAAAGCAGTTAGCTTTGGCACAAAGTGCTACCAGGAGGTCTCTTAACAATGGGAAAGGAGGTGAGGAAGAGGGGTCAATTTTCCAGAATAAACTGGTGAATGCACACGCAAAGCTGTATTTTCAAACAGTACAAATGTAATCAAATCTTTCTGAAATGAAACAATTCTCTAGGTTATCAATTAGGCATATCTTTCATAATATCTGACTTATGTTTGAGAGTGTATGGCTTTAGAAAACTGCTAAGCAGCTTCACTCTAGACATGAAGTGGCTGCAATCTTTTGCAGGCAGATAACACAGAGCTCTGAAGACTATTTTCCTATTTATTAGACTTTATCAGATAATTCTTAAATGTTCTTCAAGCCTCCTGCTGCTGTTTGGCATCATTACTAAGACATTTCTCAATGTTTTGTCAACAGTCCTTGTAGGACCATCTTCCCCCACCCCCTCTGGTTAAAACTGGGGCTTAATTTTTCTTTTCTGTTTCCTAAAATTAACCTATAAATGTCTCATTGGATAAAACATTGCACACTTTAAAAATCTGTACTGTTTTAAATTTGCAACCAGACAATCATAGTCTCAAACAAACTTTTCTCGATCTTACATTAGTATTTTGCATTCTGTATTAAGAAATAATTTCCCATTGCAGAAGGTTAAAGAAATTCCGTAGGTTTTTCTCTTCCCTTTTCCGCTTGAAACTTGAAAGAAACAAATGATGTGCGGTGGGTAGATACAAGGGATTTTTTTGTTTGTTTGTTTTATGGAAGTCTTTGATACCCTCAAAGGTCAAATTCTTTCAGTGGATGGTCAGATGTTGGAACATTTCATACATAAGGTTTGGTTTCAGTGTAGTGGTGCAACAGCCTCTCTGAGGCTTGTAGGCCCCCCATGATTTCTACACTGAACAGGAAGATGGAGTTTCCTGGAAAAGTTACAGGCATACTCAAGTAGTTTTTGATCTCTAGTCAGTAAAAATGGTACATAATACGAGTAGTATTACTTCTAACTACATGTCACTAACTACAGCCACTTTAAAAACAGTATAAGATTTAAGAAAATGCTGTATTGTTTGGAATCAGTTAGAGGTCAAATCTGTCTGTTCTACCAGAAATACTGTTTGGATTTCGTTTGCATGTATTTTCATCAAGGCTTTTTTTTCCTCCAATGCATAATTACGTTCTGAATAATACAGAACTTTATTCATTTTTCGTAGTGTGTCACCTTTGCTTTATGATTCTATGGGAAATATGCATAGGCATGGCAGTTGGCCCAGTTGCTTGTAACTGTTTTAAAAAATAAAATCCATAATGTACTTTTCAAAATTCAAGAAAACTATTTCTACTAGAAAGAAAACAAGGAAAAGCTTCATTACGTAGTTATTCGTTCATTTTTAATACAAATGTCCTTGTAAATTTGACTCATATAGCCTTTATCAGTGTAGGTACAAGAATGGCTTGTGGAAAGGGAGAGAAATGGTAATTGAAGTCAGTTTTCCCCTCCCTTTCTCTTCTATGGGTGGGATATGTCCTTTGTCAGTGTACTATGTGTTGAGGCTGGGGTGAGGAGAGGGCTGTACTTTTTAAGGAGAAATTAAAATAATGAAGAAGCCGTAACCATAAAGAAGAGCAGTCTGCAGCACAGAAACCTGAAACAGGCCTCAAAAAAAACCCCTGGAACACAAACAAAATGTAATGAAGAACTCACTGAAGTTTTGCCAAACGTAAAATTGTACATGCTGTTCTTCTCACTCTCACCCAGAGCACATATGCTGTGGTACAGGTATGTCTGACAGCAGAAAGAAGTTTCTTGGCCTATGGCAAATTTAACAAAAACATGGTCTCATTTTATGTTTAACATGGAGAACTGGCAGTAGGAGGATAGAGGAATGAAACCTTTTGTATCAATAACTCCTTTTCACACAAAAGTGATTTTTAGTATTGAAAGGACTTTTAAAATGCATTCACCTCGTATCATCCAGTATTGTAGTGCAGTCAGGAAAAGGAGTGATAATCTGATCCATTTGAATTGTGAGAGAGGTCTGTCAGGTGCTTGCTTCTCTCTGTGTGAGAATCATTAAAAATAAAATCTTGGCACCACTAGACAAATTCCTTAATTTTTTTTTCACCCTCTGTTTTACTTAATATGTTGTGAGTATGCAGTGCTGAGATCTGTGGCCTTTTGTGTTGTTGGTCTTTCCTGTTCAATAGGACCCTCAGTAATTACTAACCTAAAATGGGTCAAGTGAGGTTTCTTTTTAACCATTTTTTCTCTTGAAAATGTTTTCATTGTGTTTAGTAAACTGTGCTTTGGTATGTGGTTCTCATGGCTGCGGAGCCTCCACAGCTCCCATTAACTCCAGTTGGAATCATTGGTTTATGCAGCTCCACTGAAAGTCAGGCCTTTGCTGTCTATCATAATGTCTATCTATGGTTTGCTCTTGATAAAAGAAACATTACCATGGTATAAAGGAGTGTTAGAAAGAAATCAGCTCTATTCAATAGTTAATAAAAAGTGTTTAGTTTAGTGACGTTTTTCAAGTATTTCTTTGCAACTGGGTCTGGAGAAGGAATAAAAATTATTCATGTTTTGAGTAGTTATACATGGAATTTTTAGATAGAATAAAATATGTTTTTAATAAAATATGTTTTTAAGTAATGTCTTATATTTCCACTTCTGTAGCATATATGCTTTGTACGGAAATCATATAGGAGGTCATTGACTGCAGTGAGAAAAATGGTAACTGAAGTAACAGTATTTCTGTTTCCTTGAAGTAATACTGTGTAACATGCTGTAGAGAGAAAAATATGGAAAGTTAGGCTAATATTTCTTAATTATTTTTTTCTCTTTTTTTTTTTCTCTCCCCTGCCTCCAGGTTGGTCCTCCATCAAACACCATAGCTGTTAATGGAAGAGCCAGACTTAATCCTTTGTATTCCACAGAAGCAAAAGCTAATCAGTAGATATTATACCAAATATTTTGCACTTTACTGCTTCATAGGCCAACTTTACACTAACTACAAATTTTTGAAAGTGTAAATGCAAGTGTATGTTAATATATTTTTGTCAGCAGTTATAAGGATTTCGAGCTGTGTCTTTGGATGCCTTGGAAAGATTATTAGCATATGTAAATTATGGTAACATTTTGCCTTTTCCTCTTTATAAAGCTGACTATGCTGCTAAAAAGGTTTAAGAAAAGATGCATATGAGCTTTGCTTATGATAGAAAGAGAATCAAAGATTCTTGATTTTAGCCTCAAGACTGAACAATATGTAGCACTATGCTGAAATTACAGATTGGAAACAACCTAAGAATTCTAGATCACATCATTAATTTTCAATTGTGTATTACTTTAACAGATTGTAAGAACTTAAATCTACCACATGCTGCCTCCATATTCCTTTATTAAATTAAAATTGTAATTACTAGAATATCTTAATTAAATGCAATACTTTGTATCTGTCTAAAAAATAGATGGTTTTGTTCCTTTAGCAGAGAGTAACTGGGATACGTATTGTGATTATTTTTTTTTTAACTCTCCTGTAATTTTTTCCTGGTAGCACACACATAAAAAAATCAGGATATAAATTATTGAAAATTTTTGTACTGCTTAAAAACTTTTATTAACAGTAGCACTACATGACATTTCTCTTTGGGTATCTGTATATAGTATTTACCTAGCACTCAGATGAGCAATACTTTTTGTGAATTACATATATATTGAAGTAGTCATCAGCATATACTCACATACTGATAAAATGCAAATTCCAGTTTTGATACTTAATGAAATAGAAGAAATTTATTTTTTTTCACTTGAAGTATAACTAAAGAATGAACTGCTTTGGATTTATTCATGTGAAATATTTTAATCTTAAAACAGCACAATAACGCACTTACAAATCATGCTTGTGTCAGAGACTGTCTATTTATAGGTTAAGCATTAAATACCAAGATGGGAATATATATTAAAAGAGAATGCATTGTGTTATATTTTACCTATTTTGAATTTCTTGTCAAGATTATACATTTTGGGGAGGGAGTGGAAATATGATAACACCCATGATAAAATAGCTAGATTATGGACGCATGCAGGAAGTGCTGGGGTATTTGCCATTTTAAAATATTTTCTTGCTGGACTTGATTCAAATAAAAGTAATTGTATTTCGTTTCTATTCTTTAACACTATATTTTGTACTTTAGAAACATTCTGTAACTCAATTTCAGAAACTGATCTATATGTGCATTTCAAAGGGTTAATAATTGTTTGCTGCCAGGTTTTTGTGCAATAATCTCAAAGAGGTCTAATTGCTTTCCACATACAGAGTCAATTATTGATAACAAGTAACAGTGTTAATGCTGAAACTCTTTAAGGAACATTTTAGTAAATAAAAATTCATAAAGAGGGTTGATGGACATTTGTTCACTGCTGTTCTCTCCCGTTTACTCTCCTGTATCTTAGTCCCCTGTCAATGTGTGTTACCACTTCCGTCTCTTCTTTGTTTTGCCTCCAATCAAGGGCTTAATCCAAGGGTGGGGGAACCCACATGGTAGTTCAAAAGATCTGTTTCAGGATCTGACTGCGAAAGAACACTTCAACCTTTGCTTGAAATCAGTGAGGTAGAAGAGGTGTGGGGTTTTTTCTAGTTTCCAACTGGGGCTTACATTCTAGATTTCACTGCATCTTGAGGGACAGACTTGAAAGTTGTAACTCACTCCCAGGGTTCCAGTGTCTATGTTCTTTGTGGCATTTAAAGTCTGTGTTTTAAGCGTTCCTACACAACATGCAGATCTGTAACTGCCAGAGAGAGGCTGCACTGCAAAAAGAGTCTCCTTACTTGTCCTTTGGGTGCAAGGATCTTACAGATTTTTTCTCAAACCTTAGTATTCTCTGCCAAGGTGACCAAAGTTATTTCATAAAGTTAATTTAATCTCCATCTGTGGTAATACAAGTCGGTATGATGTTTCACTTTTTCAACCAAATCAGTAGAGTCCAATTATTCTTGTTTTGGACAAAGTTCAAATAACCATGCTTTGTTGCTTGCTTTGGTTTTGAACACAAAACTGTACTATATGTTTCTTAGTCCCATATGTTAAAAATAAACTACCTTTTCATGTGAACTCCTGAAGGTAAATATCATTTTATGTATCAGAGATTAAACTAAAACCACCTCGCTTGAATTTTAAGGTTTCTTGTCTGTGTCACTGAACTTGCTTGATAACTGAAATGTCTATACATGCTATAGCACTATGAAAATCTTTAATGAGACTTCCTGTTAGTAGCTGAAAATACTGTTTAGCGAAAATTTCTCTTTCCCTCTTCTTCCAACACGTGTATGTAAGACATTTTTAAATCTTGCTATTGTATTTTTAGAAACTCATTTTTTCTTAATACTCTTTTATTAAATTCTACTAAAGAAACTCTTGCTGGTAAACTTGACATGTTTGTTCAAGTAAGTGTTTCTAGTAACTGCAAGCCCAGATTAGACAGCAGTAAATTTTTGTTATGGATGCCTTACATGCATAGTAAACAGACTTGGTTTTGGGCCCAAGAATACTTACAGTTTGCACAACATGTATCACAGCTGTCTTCCAACAGGAGGCAATTAGTTATGCCATACTTTTTATAATCTCCTTCCTTTTGCATGGCAGTCAAAATGTTTAGGAAGGAAAGTCAGGATACTGAAGTTAGTGATAGTCAGTGTAATTGTCTGAACAAAACAGCTGACCCCAGTGAAGGTGCACTGTGACTTACTGTTATGAGTTCTTTGAAGAAACAGCAGGTATCATGTAGCACAATGCCATCTTCATCTAGTTTACATTCCAGGGCTTTGTAAGTAAAGGAGGGCTAGAAAAGCAAAGAGATCTTGTTAGTTGTTCTTATAGAAGATTTCTTTTTTTTTATTTATTCTACAGAAGAATAAAATTTAGACTACAGATGTACCCTGCAGAAGGGAGAGTTTTGCTGGAGCAGCATCACCAGATAACTTTTGGAAATATTCTTGTGACTAGAGGTTGTAAGATCAAGGCAAGAACTCTCATACTTGCAGCTGAAAGATGTTAAACAGCTTGATGTCTCCATTTTTGGGACATATATTCAGTAATCAGTGCCCTAGTTTTTCTAGCTGCTTGTAATTTTAGCATTATTTTAGCAAGCAATATGAAGATCTCTAAGGAAGACATGAAAATTACGTGGATGTGGACCAAGAGGCATTGTATCACACATACTAGGTAAAGGATGAAAATATAACATAAAAGCAGCTAAGAGAGACCTCGACAAATCAGAGCACTGGGCAATCACCAACCATATGAAGTTCAACAAGGCAAAGTGCTGGATTCTGCACCTGGGATGGCGCGACCCTGGATGAACATACAGACTGGGAATGAGATGCTGGAAAACTGTGCTGCAGAAAGGGACCTGGAGGTCCTGCTTGATGGCACGTTGACTCAGCAGTGCCCTGGCAGCCAGGAGGGCCAACCATGTCCTGGGGGGCATTGCCAGCTGGGTGAGGAAGGGGATTGTCCTGCTCTGCTCTGCACTGGGGCAGCCTCATCTTGAATATTGTGGCAGTTTTGGGCACCACAATATAAGAAGCTATTAGAAAGTGTCCCAAGGAGGTCAATGAAGAAGGTGAAGGGCCTTGAGGAGAAGCCGTATGAGGAGCGGCTGAGGTCACTTGGTCTGTTCAGCCTGGAGGAGACGGAGGGGAGACCTCATTGCAGTTACAACTTCCTTGTGAGGCAAAGAGGAGGGGCAGGCACTGATCTCTGCTCTGTGGGGACCAGTGAAAAGACCCAAGGGAACAGCCTGAAGTTGTGTCAGGGGTGGTTTAGGCTGGATATTAGAAAAAGGTTCTTCACCCAGAGGGTGGTTGGGCACTGGAAGAGGCTCCCCAGGGAAGTGATCACAGCACCAAGCCTGACAGAGTTCAAGAAGTGTTTGGACAATACTCTCAGGCACATGGTGTGGACTCCTGGGGATGGTCCTGTGCAAGGCCAGGAGTTGGACTCGATAATCCTTGTGGGTCCCTTCCAACTTGGCATATTCTGTGAATACTTTAAAATTTGTTACAGGCACCTGTTACCAGCTAAAGCAAACATTTTCAGTTGGAGCTGCTTAGAATCCTGTTTTAATATACAGTTGCTGAGAAGACTTCTATTACATAAAAACAAAGGAAAGATGTTGTTGAGCAGCAGGGTGTACTTCCTTGAATTCTTGGCCAAGCTGTGTCTATCAGGTGTTGGATAACTACAACTAGACAGGAGACTAACTGTAAATGACTAAGTAGATGGATTGGTAACCAAACAAATAGAGCTCTTTGCAGAAGGGAACGTGTCTTAATTTGTCTGTCTGTGGTAACAGAATGTGAGGCTGAAGTCAAAATAGTGTGTTTGGACCGGAGCTGCTGTAATCACAGGCGTGACAACTGTTGGTGGGTGCTGTGAATGGTCTGAGGTTCAGAAACTGTGACATTCTGTTAGTGCTTGGCCGCTGACGGGGTAGATGAAACATCACTCGTTGTAGACAGATTGCTTATGAAGTTTATTTTGATGATAAAGCTGTAGCAGTATCACTGGAAATATTTTACACCTTGTAATTGAAAAGGATGCTTTCTATGTGAATTATTTTATACAATCCAATTGAAAATAATACAAGATAGATTTTTTTCTTTAAAATTTCTGATTAGGTAGCATTGTGAGAGGGAAGGTGTTCTTGTTAAAATGACATGAAATTTGCAAATAACGGGAAACTACACTTGTTAAAAACTTAAATACTTAATTTTGTTTTGTCTCCCTTGAAAGAGCTATGTGGCATGGGAACTAACACAGGAACTCTGTTGAGTCTATTGTGATATATTGTAGGTAAAGCAGCATTATTTTTTGTCAGCTGTTCCTACTTGTTAACACAAGCACTTTACATTTTTTTTTAAGTTTATGGGTTTATGTCTTCAAGGAGCATATTTGGAAGAGATGTATAGTTTTTTTTTTTTAGCTGAATTAAGCCTCACAACTACTAGTGTTTAAGGGAAAGAGATGAACACTTCCTTTTCCCGTCCCTCCATCACCCTGGAAAGACCACCAAGACTGTTAATGGACTAAGTTATTCCTAAATTATTCAAGACACTTAAGGGGAAAAAAATAATGGGAGGGGGAAGGAGAAGGGATAAAGTAGAGAAAAAGATGTTTTGCTTTTTTTGATCTGGAGAATCAGCACGTCTCTGAGGACAGCCAGAAACATATTTCTACTCCTCCCCTGTTTTCTACACAAAGGAGTAATCTACAGGCAAATTATCAGTTGAGGAATTATTTCACTTGTTTCCCACTGGAAGATGTTAAATGAATTTGGTATTCTTCATCAGTGTCTAACAATAGGCAGTGCTGCTTCTCCCTTCACCTCATGTTTTATGTTTTCTGTTTTACCTTAAGGGTTCTACAGACATTGTACCCTTTCAAAGCATGTGGGACAAGCCAGA